AGGTTGGGGAGGGGGTGGAAATACGTGCATAAATAGCTACCCTGTTAGGGAGCTCGGTTTTGTACTCTATTGCCTGGAGATGGCAGTGTGTCAGCAGGTTTGCGCATGTGGCTCCATCCATAGCATGTACTGATCTGCGGCTTCGTGTGAGATGAACCAGAACCTTGCTTGCTTTTGCTCTGGAATCCATCTGTGCTTGAACTTGACAGCTTCTCTGCAGAGTTCTGGTCAGGACGGGGGAGGGGAGGGAATGGGACCAGGGTCATGGTCTCCTTTACCCCCCTTCAACACAGGGAGCTTCTAGAAGATGCCACTGTGCGGATTCTCTTGTCCCTCGTGACCTTCGCCAGTGCTTCCATGGTGAAGTCTAAACTTCCTGTGGTGCCTAGGGAGGGTGAGGTTACGCCAGAGTACAGAAGCCTTTTCCTTTATATGCAAGTACTCAGTGAAGGTCCTGCCAGCCTCCTGGGCTGTTAAGAAGCAGCCGCGGCAGTTAACCTAAAATGTAAACCTGTCATTCTCAGTGCCATGACCTTGAGACAAAGAGGAAGGTGAGAAGGGGTCTGGCTGGCGTGAGGCGGTGCTGGGGAGGACCAGAATGGAGAAGAGACAGACTACTGCGGGACCCCCTCATTCCTCCTCACCTGGTGGATGGGGCAAGCATGCACATGTAGCCTTCAGGCTTTTGAGTCCAGAGGGGTTGGCCTAGAAGGTGCAGGGGTGAGATGGGTGGTGGGTTGTGTGTGTGTGTGTGTGATATTCTTTTTTTTTTAAAAAAATTTATATCTTAGGTCTGAGTGCTCTTTATGTACACTTGCATTCCTGAAGACGGCACCAAATCTCGTTCTGGATGGTTGTGAGCCACCATGTGGGTGCTGGGAATTGAACTCAGGACCTCTGAGCCATCTCTCCAACCTTGTGTGTGATGTTCTGGTTGGAGACCAGAGCCCAGGAAAGAATAGCAGCAGCTGAAGGTGGAAGGCAGAATGAATGGATCCTGAAGGGCAAGAGCCCTGACTCTCCACCGGAGGAGTGCAGGGGCTTGTGAGACAAAGCCGGGCAGGGAAGTCAGGGAGGAGGGTCCAAGCGGCTAGGGTGAGGACCAGTAGGCTGGGTTGGTTTCTGTTTTGTGCCTGGAATCTTAGGAAGCAGGATGCTTTGGTTTGTGGTCCCACAGTGAGGAGGAAGCAGAGGATGTGGAAAAGCCTTATGTTTTGGCCAGAGAGTATGTAAGAGATTGGGTAAATGGGAAAAGATTTAGGATCTGGGAATGTCATTTCTGTCTGTCTGTCTCTCTCTCTCTGCTGCCTTCTTCCCAATTTGGAAACTAATATTTTTCTTAACTTTCTTCAGTAACCCTGTCTCGTGAGTGCAGGATGTCCAGGTGCTGAGCGGCAAGCAGTAACCAGTCAGGAAGGCTGGATATTGGGTGGAAAGGGCCATGTGGTCCTTTTTATTGCCCCTTTGGTGTTCATGGAAGTGGAGTGGCAAGCCTCGGGCTTTAGAGTCCAGGAACATTGCCAGAGAACCCAAAGGAAAACCCACATTGCTGGGCCAAGTGAGTTTCCGGTTTACCTGGAGGTGCTGAGAATTTGCCTTTCCAGCAGTTTCTCAGGTGAAGATCATACACTTAAAAAATACACTTCCTTCAGCTAATGATGAGATGCCAGGCTATCTCAGCTATGGACACTGGCCAGCTAGAGCCATTAAGGAGTACTTGGGCTTGAGCTAGCTTGCAAGTCTGGAGAGGCTTGGGGAAGGGGTGCTGAGGCAGGTAGTCTTGGCCATTTACCAAGCAGTGCAAACAAAGGCCCCTGGGGCGTGTTTTACTGCAGAGCCAGAGTGCATGCTTCTTAAATTGCCTACCTGCTGCAGCAGGAGGGTTGAGCTGACTTGTCTTAGCCTGAATTTTGGGGTGGTCTCTTTTCTAATTCCACTTGCAGAATTATGAGGTCAGCATAATAGCCCGGGTGGCTGAGTCTGAAGCCAACACAAAGAACTTTTGCCCTTCAAACCAGGTTCTGTTTTCACCTAACTGCTCTGTGAGAGCCCATTGTTTAATCTCCTGCTCCCCTTCTGCCCGCCTTCTGCCCACTCTCCATGATGCAGCCAGGCAGATAATATTAAAAACATATGAATGCCAGGCCTAATGGCTCATGCCCGTGCTCCCAGTTCTTTGATGGTTGAGGCAGGAGGCTTGCCAGGAGTTCCTAGGCTAGCCTAGGTGACATAGTGAGCACCAAGCCAACCTGGGCTACAGTGTGAGACTGCAAACAAGCAAGCAAACAAAAGCAGGTGCTGGGGTGTATGTAGCTCAGTGGCAGGACGCTCGCCTCGTGTGCTCGGGACTCTGAGTTTGATTCCCACCACAACTCAACCGGATGTTCTCTTGAATCCTTCAAGGCCTACATTTACAGCCCGTAATCCTCTCCCCTGTGTGACCTGTTGTATGTCTAGCCACGGCGGACTTCAAATTCTAGCTGCTCCATCTTCACTGAGTCCCTAAGCATGGCTACAGCTTCATGAACTGTTCTACCGCCCCTCTCCAGCTTTCTTTCACAAGTTCTGGGGTGCTGAACTTTCCTTTAGGGGAGCCTTCCTGGCCTCTGGCACCAGGCTGACTTTCTGTTATAAATGTATAAAGCTACACATTCATGGCCTGGGAGTGTAGTTCATTGGTAGAGTGCTAACTAACATGCAGAAAACTCTGGGTTAGGACCTTAGCATTGCCTATGAAAATAAAGCCAGACGACTCAGATATCTGTGCTACTAAAATTCCCTGTGTGACTCAGACTCTGCCAGTTAGATGTGCTCATCACATGTGTAACGGTTTTGTGGGAAGAGGCTGGGCTTTCCCTTCCATGGGACAGACTCGAGGACATCTGTGTCACTGGAATGGTGCCCTGGCAGGGATGTCTTAACTATCAGATGCCTGAGTAGCAGCCCCTTTGCAGCGTAGCTTAGCAACATGATCCTGGGAGCAGGCCCTGGGCGCTCAGCCGAGAGCCCTTCTTCATCTCTCCTGATGAGTCTCCAGGTCGTTTCATAGCCTGGGTGGAATCCGTCGACTCAGTTTGACCAGGGAACCTTGGCTTTGCTGTACTGCTAAGTTTCTTGTCCAGGGTTTACTTACCTTCCCTGCTGTGTGAGGGAAGGTACCTGCTGTCCTTTGCATCCCAGGGACTCACAGTATTCTTAGTCACAGGCCAGAAGTCGCCATTTCTTGAGTGAATGAACCCTTGGGCTTAGGTTTTTTGTTGTCCTTGCTTTTGATTTCTTTATTAATGGAGGCAATCTAATGTAGCCCAGGCTTGCTATGTAGCTGAGGCTGGGCTTGAACTCCTTATTTTTCTTCTCTTTGGGGAGCTGGTGTGGGCTGGGCCAGAACTGTTTTAGATTTGGTAAGCACAAGCTGGCCTCTAGTTTATTTATCGTAAGTGAAGTACCCATTGCGATGGTGCCTACCCATAATCCCAGCACTTAGTAGGATGAGGCAGGAGGATTGCCAGAAGTTCAAGGCTAACCTGGGCTGCATGTTAAGTAACAGGCCTGCTAGGGTTACACAGCAAAACTCATTCTGAAAAATAAAAGACAAAACAAACGTGTTTGTACATTTGTGCTTGTGTGTGTAGTGAGTTTACCATAAGAGAATGACTTAGGGGAAGGAGCAGTAGATGGTCCTGACAGCTGACTTCACATGATCTGTGGGGGGATGTAGAATGTCTGTAGACAGGGGTGTTGGGCTGCAGGGGCCTTGTAGACATTGGTAAGACGGGGAGGTTAACTTCTCATCTTTGATCAGATCTGCGTCTAGCTCTTGTGTGCCCAGCACCATGCTAGGCTCATGTTGACAAAGGGATACTAGACAGCCCTCTTTGCCTTCAAGAAACAAAAAATCTAGTTAAGCAGGCTTGTTGGAAGACCAAGAAATATAGTGTCCAAAATAGTTGGAGAGCTAAGAGTGGTATGTGACACCACTACCCCACCAAGGGGAGGTAATCGAGATGCTTGGGAGAAAAAGCATTTATGGCTTAATTACTAGGTGTTGCTTTTTATTTGACCCTGATCAGCAAGCCAGAAGCCTTGGCTTAAGCAGGTGCCGGAAGTGAGAGTGAGCAAGCGCCATGGTACTGAGGCCGCATGTAGGACACCGTGGTCTGGCAAACTGGCCACGCTTTTGCAATCTGGTGTCTGGGAATTGTTGATGGATAGGTGATGGAAATAGGAACAGCTTTGGCGGGAAGCACTAGTCGGCTCCCCTGGGCCCCTTGCTTGTCTTCCCCTGCCTGAAGAAATTTTGGAAGTTCTGGCTTTTCCTGGTGGCCCCTGAGCCCTGACGTGTGCTTTTCCCTCCCCCTTCCTGGCTCCAACACTGGGCTTGGCTGCCATTAAACTCATTCCGGGCTCAGCTCGGGGCTAAATAAGCCTTCCTGTTCTAGTCCATTCTGGCTGCCCCAGGTCCTGATCACCGGTCCCTGGCCATATAACCTCCTCTCTACTGTGCTGACACACAAGGGGAGATCAGCAGACATTTGTGTGGTGAGCCCCAGGCTACTGGTTCTGATTCTGGTCTCTGCTTCTGGGTTACCATTGACTTTCTTTTTTTTTTTTTTTTTTTTAATGTTCTTCCATCCTTCCCCTTTTAGCAACCTGAAGTTTCTTGGGATGAATGAGTGGGCCCCTGGCCCTCTTGTGCTGTGTGGAAGTCTCCCACCCTGGGTGGCCTTTGGCATACCATAGCTGGAGGCTCAGGCCCTGGAACAGGAATTAGGAACTGTGAAGTGGCTGGGTGGGAGGGAGTGGAAGGGAGGCCACTGAATGCCTGGACCCGGGTGAGTAAGGCTGTGTGTTCAAGCTGTGCTATTCATTGGCTCTTTATGTGGGGGAAGGGGGAAGGAAGCTCGCCGTGGGTGTGCACGCCCTCTGGACCGGGCTCATTCAGTGAGCAGACAGAGACCAAGACAGGTCAGTTTACCTCTCTTTTTACTTCCATTTCACAGGATCTTCTGTTGCCTAGGCTACCCTTGTATTCGAAGTAATCCTCCTGCTTCAGTTTGCTGACAGCTGGGATTGCAGGTGTGTACTATCTCAGTCGCTACCACCCCTTTCCCTTTCCTCCTTTTTTTTTTTTTTTTTTTTTTTGTGGTACGTGGGAGGGGGGTCAATCCTAGGACATTTTTAGCCTTTTTTAGGGTGGGTGTCTATTTGGGGGGAAAGTGGAGGTGAGACAGGATCTCTTGTAGGCTAAGCTAGCTCCCATGTAGGATATGATTAAGGCTGGCCCTAAACCCCTGACCTTCATGCCTCTGCCTCCTAAATGCTTGAAATTCCAGGCACGTACCACTTCACCTGTGCCTTAAGACAGGGCTCTGCTGAGTTGTTTAGGCTGTCTTTGAACTTACGCTGTAGCCAAGCACTGTTTGAACTTAACATCCTCCTGCCTCAGATTCCTTGAGTAGCTGGGATCGCAGGTCTACACCACCACAGTTTTCCTTGATGTTCTTTGAACTCCAGAGACAGTGTTTACCTGAACATAGGGCTTTGAGGCTGCTGCTTGGGCTGAGGTGGTAGCCTGTTTGTGGGTAGAACATTTGCCTGACATATGCGCGGCCCTCAGCTCCATAAAGGGAATTGGAAAAGAGAGTAATTACTAGCTTTCTAATTTGGGAAACTAATGACTTACAAGGGTGACTATATCTTTGTTAGTTTGGCCATAAATATGGAGGCTATTATAATAAAGTGTTCATAGAAGAACTTTGTAATCAGGTGTCAGAGGTTGTTTCTGTAGGGTTCTAGGTTTTATGCTGTACTTGGAAGGGAGTTTGGGCTGGGATGTAGCTCTGTTGGCAGAGTGCTTGCTTAGTATGCCCTAGGTATGATCCCTAGTACTACATAAATCCATGTGGTTCTGAGAAGCCCAGCACTCAGGAGGCGGAGGCAGGAGCATCAGGAGTTCTAGGTCAGCCTCAGCCACATATCAAACTGAGGCTTCTTAGACTACATGAGACCCTGTTTCAAAGGAAGGGAGGGAGGAGAAATCAGCTTTTGTTCCCTGATGATGCTCCAGTCTTTTTCTTACATCACTGTCATATTCCCACATCACTTCCTGGGTAGATCAACAGGCTGAAACAGAACAAAGCAAAACCAAATCGACTCCAGGCCTCAGGAAATCCATTCTCTCGCTGGGCTGTGCTGGTGCAGGCTTTTAACCCAGGACTCGGAGGCACAGGTGGACAGATCTTTGTGAGTTGAAGACCAGCCTGTCTGTCTTCATTGTGAGTTCCAGGACAGCCAGGGCTATGTAGAAAGGAACTGTCTCCAACAAACAGAAAAGAATATACATCATCAACATTCCAGGCATGTTCATACATAAGTGGATATTGAAAAAGATATAAATACTCCCATGGAAAAGCTCTGCATCTCTTTGTCTGCATCAGAAGAAAAGGAAACTGCAGTAAACGAAAGGGAATTATTAAGTTTTAAAGAAATATGTTACTTGCAAGAGACAATTTTTTCTCAGCAGAGTTAATTGCTTGTGAGTCATCTATAATTGCTTGTTTTCATTTTAGACAGTACCTATTGACTCTTGCTCTATTTTGAATCTTACACTGTCCCCTATCCTTTCCCCCACACCCTGAGGATGCTAATTACATTATTGGATTGTCTTTTTTTTTTTTAAGGATTTCTTCTGCTCCTAGTTTCTGCTTTTGTAAGCATGCTCTCTTTTTTAAAAATATAATTTTATTATTGTTGTGTGTACGTGAATGTGTGCCACAGTTCATTTGTGGAAGTCGGAGGGCAGCTTTTCCCTTCTGCCTTGTTTTGGGGGCAGGGTCTCCTGGATCTGCATACTGGGTGTTCTAGGCTAGCTGGCCCGTGTGCTGCTGGATGGTTCTCCTGTCTCAGCCTCTCTTGGATGCGTGAGTGCTGGGATTACAGGTGGGCCCCACTATAGTCAACTTCTTTCAAACCTTTTCTTTCTAAAGATTTATTTTTATTTCATGTGTATGAGTGTTTTGACTGTATGTATGAGTACCATGTGGTTCCAGTGGGGGCCCGGGGATGGCACAGATCCCAGGATCTGTAACTGAAGTTACAGGTGGTTGTGAGCCTCCATGTGAGTGCTGGGACTGGAACCCAGGTCCTCTGTAAGAGTAACAAGCGCCCTTAACTAAAGCTATTCCTCCAGCCCCAACCATGAACTTTTTTACTGAGTTCTGGGGATGAACTCAGGTCATCACATCAGGCTTGTGGGGCAGTGCTTTTGCTGGCTTACTTGCTCCCTGAATTCCTTTATTTCCTTCTTTGCATCCCCCAACTCTCTCTCACACTCTTTCTCTCTCTCGCTGTGTGTGTGTGTGTGTGTGAGAGAGAGAGAGAGAGAGAGAGAGAGAAAGAGAGAGAGAGAGAGAGGCCCAGAGAGAGAGGCCCAGACTGGCTTCAAACTCACTATGTAGCTAAGGCTAGCCCTGAACTGCTCTTCCTGCTTCTACTTCCTGTGTGCAGGGATTAGAGGTGTGCACCCCTGAGCTTTTCTGTCAGAATAGTGCAGACATTGCTGTTAGTCTTCTAATGTTGAATGTTGCTGAGGGAAGATGAGAGTAGTCTGAAATAACTCTCATGTCAGGCATGGTGGTACCCATTTATACAGGTGGTGTACATCATCTATACACGTGGTGTACGTCATCTATACACGTGGTGTAGTCATCTATACACGTGGTGTACGTCATCTACACAGGTGGTGTAGTCATCTATACAGGTGGTGTACGTCATCTGTACAGGTGGTGTACGTCATCTGTACAGGTG